CAGGTGAGCTTTGCGATGTAAGCGAAAATGACGAATGGTACGGTTCGTCGTTCTCATTTACACTCGTGAAGGGTTATGGGCGTGGGCGATGGTCAGTTGTGACACATTATTGACATTAATGACTGTATACAGGCTACTGCAAATAAAAATAAGACGTACACAAACTAGCTATTATATGTATAAAGTTAGGTGTCTGTTATATCCCAACTGTAACCCGTGAGCGTTCCTCGTTTCCCTTCTTCGCTTGGTTAAATACTACATAGTCAATGTACAAATAAGGTGTGTTATATACATGTTGTAGGTTCGATTGGGACGGGTGAGGTGGGAGTGGTGGGGAATTTTCTGGCATTTACAAAGAGGGGGTGGGGTGGGGGTTAAAGGGAGAAAGTGGGTGGGGTGGGTGTTGTTGCATTGGACTCTCAATCTAGAAGCCAGGATTATTAGATAAAATATGTTGGCGTCACTGTATCCCGAACGTTCTCTGTCTTGTGGGTAAACTCGGAATTTGGACAAATATTCATAGTGGGGGAGCAGGCGCTAGTCAAAATAATGACATCGAAGATATCGGAATTTTTCCTCCGGATTAACAATTTCTATCGAATGTTTGTTTTCTGGCTCAATATCTCCATATACGTCCATTTAAAAACATATTTTTTGTGTGTGTGGATTGTATGGAAAAACGTACCAAAATGTGAATTTTCCGTTTCCTGGGACTCTCAAGCTATGGAAATCACCTAATTTGTGTAGCCTTCTATCCTTCCTCGTTCAATGGTAACTATATCGACTTCTGTTCAAAATAGATGGGGATTTAGTTATCGAAATGAGGACAACTGAACCCGTTTAAAGATGACAACAATGACTCCACTGCATGCCCCAAAATTGACAAGTCCCTGATTCCAAGGCGTTGTGACACATACCATAATAGAACTCATTTCTTCAGTATGTCGATCTGACGCTGAGGCCATACTTGGTATCCGGAAAAGAAGTTTCCCTACATAAAAAAACCTGCATGAAAACATAATAATCAACGGCTTTCTTTTGAAACTGACCTTTCTTTTGAAACTGAGTTTTCCTTTTAAACTGTTTTTAAAACATTTAGAGAAAAAAATACGGACAAGGAAACGCTTATTTTTTCCCTTCCCTTAAACTTTTGTTTGTTTTATTGATTGGCTGTGGTTTTGGTTTTGGTTTTGGTTGTGGAGGGTTTTTTGTTGGTGTTTTTTGTGATTTTGTTTGTTCCATTTTCTCTCTCTTTTTTCTTCAAGGGAAATGCTTATATACACTTTTTTTTTGGGGGGGGGGGGTCTTTTACCAATGTATTAACCCTTCAAAGGATTTCTCTTTTGTGAAATAAGTAAGTAAGACCAGCGGTTTCCACTTTCTTTGTTTTAATTTTCTCAAGTCGAGTTTTATTTGTTCGTTTTGTTCCAGTCCTAACTATTTTTACGTGCTGAAAAAATTGAACCCCCAAAATATTTCCCAGAGACCAGTACATTGTATAGGGCTTTCCTATTTTTCTCAAACACCTTTGAAACGATGTTAAGCTGTTGGTAAAGTTACTGGCCCTCTAGGTACAATATAAATTCTTTAGAAAGCAGAGCTCTTCGTCCTTAGTCAGGATACCAAGCTGAAAGAAATCATTCTGTTTTAAAAAGACGAGAAAAATAATTCAGATTCCTTGGATTCAAACCCCGAAAATATATCAGAATAGCTGC